AGTGTCGATCTCGTAACTCATATTTTTTTTTTTTTTTTTTAAAGAAAATTAAATAAAATATTCCTATTTTATTATATTCAGATGAATGGTAATTTGCAGACACGGAGAACAGTACGTGCGTACCGTGCGAGGCGAACTGCGCAAGTTGCCAGGACAGGCCGGACAAATGCACCAGTTGCGAGCATCATTTGGTCATGTATGAAAACAAGTGTTACGCGGCCTGCCCCCTATACACATACGAGACACAAGATTACAATTGCGCTCCTTGTCATTCCACGTGCGAGACTTGCAACGGAACCGCCGAGAACCAATGCATCTCCTGTCGACCTGGATTGTTTTCTCTCAACGGTATGCATGCATATATATATATATATATATGTATATACACGTAGACCTTAATCCTTAAAAACGACACCGGAGCGCAACCGATAACCTAGAAACCTATTTTTCCGGTATCTGGTATCGTAGGGATATGTTTCATACGAATTCACGATTTTTAAGTCGATTCCCGCGTTTTATTGGCCGTACCATCGAATGGAATATTCGTCGGGAGACGAAGGATCGATCACGATTGAATTAATCTTTTCATTTCGTGAATTTAAACGAAAATTAATTCTTCGCGACAAATTCGATTATACGTTTATTAGATTAAATACAAAGCATAAATATGTATCGAAATTGGACTTTGAAAATTTTCATTTATAAGATCAATTATTTTATCTCAACGAGCCTTACATTAGATATTGCATTATTTTACGTTTTCAATAATATACAAATCCAGCCAATTTATCTTAATAATTAATAATAAAATTCAAATTTTCGAACATCATCGTATAAAGCTTAATTAATTTACTTACTTAATATTAAGAATCCTTCAATCTCAAGCCTTTTAAGCTTTATACACGAAGTTAATCTTCAAGCCTGGACTCGAGCCAAATCCAAGCTTCGATTTAACGGAATTAATCTAACAAATTTCAGGCGCCTGTCGAGCATCTTGTCCAATCGGATACGGCGCGGACAAGAAGCGGCGCGAATGCGTGCCATGCCCACCCGGATGCGCTACCTGCGACATGTCGACGTGCAGGAGTTGCGACGACGGATGGAGTTTGAACGAGGAAGGTCTTTGCGCACCCGAGCACCGCGATCGTTGCAAAACAACCGAGTTCTACGAGAACGGCCATTGCAAACAGTGTCACGCATCTTGCAAAACGTGCGCCGGCCCTGGAGAGAACAATTGCATCTCCTGTCAAAAACCGTTACTCCTCCAAGCGAAACGGTGCGTGTACCAATGCGACGACGGTTATTACTCGATGGCGCAACCATCTGGACCCGTCTGCGTGCCTTGCTTGCACACGTGCAAAACCTGCGTGTCTCGATTGAACTGTACCGCGTGCCAAGACGGATTGCAATTGCAGAGCGGAGAGTGCAGGTCCTCTTGCGCCCAGGGGTGAGTTTCCCATCATGTCATACTCGAACCTCATTGACCTGGAAACACGTGAAATGAATGAGTTGATAGAGAATTTGAATTTTAAATTTTAACATTAAAATTAAGATAAACATCGTAACAAAAATTTTGAATTGTGCACAACTTGTAACCTTTGTATTATAGTTGCAAGAGACTCGGTTTCCATTAAAATTAAGATAAACATCATAACAAAAATTTTGAATTGTGCACAACTTGTAACCTTTGTATTATAGTTGCAAGAGACTCGGTTTCCATTAAAATTAAGATAAACATCATAACAAAAATTTTGAATTGTGCACAACTTGTAACCTTT